CATCATAGCTATTTTTGCTAGGTACAGATCCTATTCTGTCTGGATGTTAACATTCTTCCTAGATATAAGTTACCATCCTATTTACTTTCTACTTAGCACTTACTGCCTTCTGCTATCTTCTCTACTTACCTATGGTATGTTCTCTGTTGGGCCATAAGAAAGGTCCTTATAATGTAGAAGGAAAATGTTCCTCTTTCATCCTATTTTTTCCCCTTGCACACACACTCTCCTCTCCCTCTCCCTCTCCTTCTCCTTCTCCTTCTCCTTCTCCTTCTCCTTCTCCTTCTCCTTCTCCTTCTCCTTCTCCCTCTCCTTTTCCTTCTCCCTCTCTCAGTTTGTACTGATCCTGAGGCTTGAACTCAAGGTCTGGGCACTGTCCCTGAGTTTTTTGCCAGTGCTCTACCATCTGAGCCATAGCTGTGCTCCCAACTTTTGTGGTTAATTGGAGATCATGTACTTTCTGCCCAGGATGGCTGTTAACTATGATCCTCAGAGCTCAGCCTCTTGATAAGCTAGGATTATAGACATGAACCTATAATAATTAGCTCTAGGTCATTCTATGCTTTTAAGTGGGAAACCAGAGCAATATTTTTTGTATATCAAAACATTTGGAAAAATAACTTGTACATTTTTCTCAATATTCCCGGAGCTCAGTAGGAATGTTGGGGTACCAGGCTAGAAGATAAATCCAGGTTACAGATTCAAGGCTTTATTCTCTCCCTGCTCCCAATGCAAAGGATGAATAGGTTTGCTCTTGAAGTTTGAAACTTCAATGAAGCTCATTTTACCTGTTCTTCTTCCTTAAGCACTGTAATTACTGAGTAGTTTAGGACTTTCAAACTTACTAAAGGTATGGACAGTGGCTCTATTGGTTTTTCAAGTTGAAGGCACTTCTTCCTCTGAGAAATAGCCAAAGTTAATTCCTTTAAACAAATTGCACTCTATTGTCATTCTGTTATCAAGTAAAGTTTTGAAGTTTATGATTATTGAATTCATTTAAACTAACTAGCAGAATTTACTAACTAGTAGAATTTAAACTTTTATGTTATTTGACTATTATGAGTCATTTTATGTAAACACAAGCAACTGAACTTCAGCCTTACCTTTGTCCACATTGCCACAAATTAGCATTATTGATATCTGAATAAACTGTAAATTCAGGAATATGATTTTTAATCTACTATAATCTAAAACTTGGTGACTTTTGATGCTTATCAAAGAAAATACCTGTTTATCATATCATTTCTTTTTTTCTTTTCTTTTTTCTCTTTTTTTTTGCTGGTCCTGGGGCTTGAACTCAGGGCCTGGGCACTGTCCCTGATCCTCTCTGTGCTCAAGGCTAGCTCTCTACTACTTGAGCCACAGCGCCACTTCTGGCTTTTTCTATGTATGTGGTACTCAGGAATCAAACCAAGGGCTTCATGCATGCTAGGTGAGCATGCTACCATTGAGCCACATTCCCAGCCCCTTATCATATCATTTCTTCTTTATTCACAATGAAATGTTAATCTGTGTTTGTCCTAATACAAATACCTTCTCATGCATAAACTTTCCCAGATACAAATGTTTTTCCATTATAAACCATCCATTTATCTATACACATTGGTAACCAGCATCTGGTTACAATCCAGAGATTGAGGGGTCATTTGTTTTGTCTCTTTTCAAGGCAAGAAAAAAGAGAGCAAACAGAAATCAACCACAAACAAACTACAATTTTCATAGGCTGCTTCCTTTTTATACTTTTCAACTTTAGTCTATTATTTTTCACCATGCACTTGGATTTACTGTTATCTGTGGAACATGCCATCATTTAATTCAAATTACCTGTGTACTGTCTTCCACACCTCCGTGTACTCTTAATACAGCAGAGCACTGTGGTTGACAGTCTAGCCTTATGCCACCTTTCTGTCCTTAGTTTCTTCATTATAGAAGTAACCATGATAATACTTCAAAGTACCTGTGAGAGCAGATTGAATGAGTTTAAACATAAATCATTTAGAACAAATATTACCATTTTTATCATCATCATCATCATCAAGCTAGTTCTTTTTCTTTTTCTTTTTGTCAGTCCTGGGGCTTGAACTCAAGGCCTGAGCACTGTCCCTGAGCTTCTTTTTGCTCAAGACTAACACTCTACCACTTGAGCCATAGCATACGTGGTACTGAGGAATTGAACCCAGTACTTCACGCATGCTAAGCAAGCACTCTACTACTAAGCCACATTCCCAGCTCATCAAGCTAGTTCTTAAATGACCTAGTTTCAAGAGCACTCACTAGCATTTCACAGCTTCTCTCTTAGCTTTTTCCAAAGCCCACTATTATTATTCAGGCAAGATTGGCCCTTCTTTTATGGTGACATATTTTTCACTCTGCCATTTCAATTCATGCCACATTGTGTCTCCTTAGTTGAACATCTGTTTCTTGATAATTGTGTACTCTGAGGTGCTGTAAAAGCGAAGAAGAGCCAAGGAAGTTTGTACTGTAGCTAAAATTCTTTTGGATTATCACTCATATGAATAGTATAGGAAATATTTTTAGTCACTCCTGATGTTAAGGAAACTAAAGACTTTATGCTCCATTAAAAGATATCCTAAGATACTTAACAAACTTTGTTTGCTTTCGAGAAGTTTGTAAGAAAGAACATTTGTTTTATGATTTTATAATGTCTGTAATTTAAATTCCTACATGTATTTCTAACATATAACACAATATACATCTAACATAGTACCGTGAATTTGCAAGCAAACATTTGGAAGCTACAAAAATTTCTTTTTGATATTTGTAAAATGCTGACGTTTTTCTGATTCAATCTGGCTTTCCCCCAGTCCAAATTAATGAGGTTCTGTTTGATTTTTTAAGTGTTAATAATTATTTCCTTATGTTTTATCACTAACTCATGCTGCGAAAATGGAAAGAAATAACTGTCTTCATAAACAAAAAAATATTTAAGCTACTTTAGTTGTATAAGGAGGTGTTCGTTATAACACCTCTACACAAATATACAACGTATCCCAGTCAATCTCACCTGCAATCATTGTTCCTCTTCCCCTACTTTCCAGAACTATTTCAGCTGGTTTAATTGTTCTGTTTTCATATATGCATTTGAAGTAAATCAGTCATATTTCACCTGCCTTCCCCCAGCCTTCTAGTACCCATCCCCCAAAGAGTCATTTATGTTTTTAGTTTATATTAATAGCACAAAGGGGATACATATGGATTTCACACCGGATAATATTATGTCAGTATAACTGTCCTATTACTCTCTTTCTTCATCCTCCAAACTCCATGTTATCTAACAGCTTTCAGTGGATTCCTTATGGAATCCTCATACTATACTTTATATTTTTCACTCTCTGTCATTCTCTTTCCCATCCCTTTTCTTTCTCATGTTCCCAAAGAGTTGCATAGTTCCAATCATATACTATGTACATATATATCTGTAGATGTGTTTATGGACATGTGTATTCTTTCAGGTCTAGATTTCACACATGAGTAAAAATATGCAATATTGTCTTTTGAGTTTGGGTTATCTTGTATTATGTATTGTAGTTCCATCCATTGTCCTAATTATGATGTAATTTCATTTTTCTTTATAGCTGAGTAATATTCCATGATATATATGTACTATTTTTTATTTACCTATTCATTGGTGGTTGAGCACCTTGGTTGACTCCACAGTTTGGCTATTGCAAATGAATCTGCAACAAATATGGGTATGGAAGCATATTTTTTGTATATTGATTTAAACAACTTTGGATAAATTCATAGCAGTGGTATGGGTATGATAGGGTCATAAGGTAAATCTGTTTTTAGGTTTCTGGTTTTTCTTTTCTTCCTGGTCCTGGTGCTTGAACTCTGTGCCTGGGTGTTATCGCTGAGCATCTTTTTGCTCAAGGCTAGCGCTCTACCAATTGAGCCATAGTGCCACTTCCAGCTTCTTCTGAGTAGTTTATTGGAGATAAGAGTCTCATGGACTTTCCTGCCTGAGCTGGCTTCAAATCATGATTCTCAGATATCTCAGCTTCCTGAGAAGCTAGGATTACAGGCATGACCTACCGGTGCCTGGATATTTTTAGCTTTTTGAAAACTTTAATACTTTTATAAAGTTTGCTTTAGTTTACATTCCCAGTAATAGTGTACAGGATTCCTTTTTCTGCAATCTGACCAGCATTTATTGCTGTTTATTTTCTTGTTGATGGCCATTCTGACAGAGGAAAGATGGAATCTTAATGTATTTTTACTTTTATTTTCTTCCTGCCTAAGGGTATTAAACATTTGCTTTATATATCTATTAACCACTTTTATTTATTATTGATTGACCTATTTGTTCTTTTGTTGTTTAGTTTTTTTGAGCTCTATATATTCTGGATATTAATTCTTTGCTGAATAACTGTAAAGACTTTCCCCTACTCTGTGGGTTGTCTTTTTATTCTGGTAATTGTTTCGTATGGTAAATTTTTACTATCTGATTTTTAAAAGTGTAGATAAACTATTTGGATCTATCATGACATGAATATTAACAAACTAAATCTAAATATTAATGTAACTGTATTTTATATAATAGTAGCTATACTATTTACTCTGAAAATTTTTACCCTAACTAACTTGTTTGTAGATCTTAAATATTTGTCTTATATATACTTAACTTTTCTACCCTCAAAATTTTAACTTAAAAATGCTTAAGTATGAAAAAATTCTAAATATAATCTAGAGCCTTAACTAAACATATGTTATCGAAGACCCAAATATATATAATTCTTCTTACTAGATTTTTCAATGTGATGACTAACTAAATCTAGGGAAAGAAATGTACTTTTCCTTTTCTTAGAGTTTATTTTTGTATGGTTAACCAAATACATCTAAGTGTGTTTATTCTTATGACCCATATCTCTAATCTCAATAGTAGCAATTACTTATTCTCTTATAAACACTAAGGGATCTTGGTTTTGTTGGCAATTCAAGGTAATTAATTGATACTTCTTTTAATTACCTTTAAACAGGACAGAGATTCCTTCTGCTATCAGATGTCTTTCTACTTGACTGAAATGCACCTCTGGTCTTTGAGGAATACCTTACACATTGGAGGTAAATGAGTTCCGGATCAATTTCAGTGTTTGTTAGTTTTTCAGTTTTACACCATTATAGATATGTACTAGCAACATTTATCTTTCACTCCCTGTCTGGAGTTGCATTCATTTTTTCAATCCTCAGTGAAAAGTTGGTCAGGAGAAAATAATTCCTTTTAATGGATGGAACTGAGACTCTCATGGCAAGTGAGGTGAGCTCACAAGGACAAATATTAAACGTTTTTTTCCCCTATGCAGATTCTAGACCTAAAAATAATAATATGTCAATATTATTGAAAGAGACACTGAGAAAGAGGATCCAGCTGGTTGCAGGAGGGAGAAAGGAGAGAATGATAGAGAATGAGTAGTATAGAAAGACATTCTATATATGTATGAAAATAACACAATAAAACTGACTAAAAAAACTGTTTAAAAGAGGTTTAGAAAGAGCAACAGATATGGGTGAATCTGATCACAGTACATTATATGCATGTTAATATTAGGAAGTCCCCTTGTGCAATGATTTTATGCTAATAAAAATTTTAAGTAAGTATATACTTTCCAGTTCCTATAGAGATTCTACATTGTTATTATTTTTAGTAATTCTGTAATTGTTGGAAATCTTTAGTAAGTTCCCAGTGATATGAAGAAATTGATTTAGATAAGTTTTACCTATGTTCTCATTGATGCATTGGTACACCAGGTTTTCTCATATCCTCACTCCACCTTTCACAAGTATCTCTCTCTGGAACTGCCTTCTTACAAGCTAGAATAAAATAAAATCTTGACATTGTAAAAGAAAATTATTCATTTTGATTGCTTTTATTAACTTACTTACTGCTTGAATTTTGTGGGTACATCTTTTCTTTTCTTTCCTTTCTGCCAGTCCTAGAGTTTGAACTCAGGGCCTGGACTCTGTCTTTGAACTTTTTAGCACACTTCAGCCCAGCTTCACGTCCAGCATTTTGCTGGTTAACTGGAAATTAAAGTCTCATGGGCTTTCCTGCTCAGGCTGGCTTTGAACCATGATCCTCAGATTTCAGCACTCTCAGTATCTAGGATTATAGGTGTGAGCCATTGACATTTGATGAGTTTTTCTATTTTAAAAATAAATTTTATTGGCTTAATATTTGCATCCTATAAAGACTGCACATGCTTAATTTTTTCCTTTGGATTGCTCATAACTGCTGTCTAATTTAGTTAAATATTTATAGGCACTTATATGCATTTCTGCTTGATGTTAAAATAAAAATTTAAATAGGTAATATATAGTTATTTTTGTTTACTTTGAGTTTCACATTTTGCAGAGGAGAAGTAATATAAATGTATTTTAACAATATTAATATCATAGGATAAATAAATTTTATTAGAAAACATTCTCAGCAATCTTTTCTTATTTAACTACCCAAAACAACTTAAATTTTGAGTATGTCTATTTATAGTGAGTTTGCCTTATTTAAGACTTTATTACATGTGGCTTTGATCAAGTGCCACTAAGAAGAAAAATATAAATGAAAAAAAAGAAATTAAAAAATAAAATCCCAAATGTTAAATTCCCACAGACATGACACATCACTTGGTTGCAGAGAAGTTCTCAGTTGGTCATCATCAGTTATGTTTATTTAAATTGTGAGGTCTGCTGAGTGTTTCCCTATCCTTAATTTTGTGAAAATCTGTCTGCAAATGGTGCCTTTCTTCCAAACAAGGCAAAAGTTAATGTGTTTAAATGATATAGTGAAAATTTTAGATTTGTTGAAAGGTGACATGTCTTTAGTGGAAGCTGGGAATTGTTATGGGAAAAATAAATCAAGTATCTGCAACACAGCACTAAGCTGCATCCTGAACATTCACAGTTTTTTCCTCTGTACGTATATTTCACATCATTACTAAGAAAATGGTTTGCCTTATATTGTTTCTTAATATTGAATATATAGCTACAGATGAGTGTCATATTTAAACTGTTTATTTTCCTTTAAATACTAAAGATAGAATTTTCAGCTACATAAGGATTTAACACACATTTATTTCTTCCCCAAAATTCTTCTAAAATTAGGGTAATTGAATTAATATAAAGAAGGCATAAACCAATAAGGACTTTAGCGTATAGGAAATGGCCAACTGCAATTTGATTTCTGGTAGATGTAAAGGAAGGAAGAACAGAACTCAACGATCTGAATGTCATTTGCCAGCATAGGAGAATTACACTAACAACAAACTTGTGTTTAAGTCTAGAAAACAACAATACAGAAGGCAGTAATGTGGCCTGAGGGCAACAACAAAGGGTCATGAACATCTGCATAAGCAGTGAGAGGGCTGGGAGTATACAGCTCAATGGCAGAGCAGCTGCCTAACAAGTAGCTAGAAATCTCATCCATTCTATCTTTTACCTAGTCTTCCTTTTCTTGCCCTGCTTATGCTCCTTCCTAGTCTTTCCATCTATCTAAAGTCCTTGGTCGCTGCCTTGGTCGCTGCTTCCTGTATTCTGAGGCTGAGCGTAGTGCTGAGAAAAGATTGCCCCATTTGTGCAGAGTGGCCTTGTGGAGTAGTAAAGATCTTCAATTCCATCAAGCTCTACCCTTTCTCTCTGTGGGGAACATTCTTGTCTGTGAATTGTGTAAAATCTTACAGCTTCTCTAGTACTCACTTCTGGAAGCTATTCCTGACATCTAGACAAGACAGTAACCCTCTTTCTATGTTCTCATTAAATGACTTGACAATTCAGTATTTTTGAATATATTTTGAAATTCTGAAATAATTCCGAACTCACAAAAATGTTATCAGTACAGAGAATTATTTGTTTCTTGAACCATTGAAGTTGCAGATTTGATATCTCCAAATCCTTCCTTCAAAGGAATACTGTCCTGAATCATTAATGTCTAGCCATTGACATCAGGAAATTAACCATGTTACATTGACATGATTACGTGTCTTTTTTTTTTTCTTTTTTAGAGAAGTAATCTGGTTCAGAACCCATAAATATTTTCAATTTATTGTCACAGGGTTTGTTAAAATTTTCTCCCTTTTTGTATTTGTATTTTTCTTATCAGACAGTTAGAAATCAGTTTTTTTTCCATAGCTTTAATTTATTAATCATCCTTTGTAATCAGTCTCCTATCTCTTTGGCCTTCTATGTGGGTTTTGATATACCAAGTTAGACATTTTTCATTTGTTAGTGTTTTATTCATATTGTTCAGCTCCAACCCACACCAAGCCATTGCTCCATGTAAATGCTCTTTGTACCTACAAGGATCCTAGCACACATGCCAGGCTGATTCTGCTCAGTTGCCTTTCTTATCCAGCCCTTGTACCTCTTGTAAGACAGTCTCCTTACATGGATGCCTTCTTGTCCTGCTTAGGTTCAGTCCCAATCTGGGCTAGGTACAGTAGTCGGATTTATGCACAGAAATTCAGAGTCCTATATGATCTTCATGTGTTTATTTTAGGATTGTAGCAAATGTTCAGATATAGGGAATAATTATATAATTATAGGATGAATACTTTAATGGAGGATATTATATTGACATATAATAGTGCCTGTGAGTCTTAGTCTTTAAACAATTTTTAAAAGTGAAGTACAACATATTTTCTAAAAGCATATAGATCATAAGATTATGTTATGAATTATCAAAAAGTGAACACACCTGTAAAATCACTCCCCAGGCCAAGGAATAAAATAATGTCATTACTCAAGAAGCCCTACTTACCACTTCTCCCAGTCAGTCCTGGTATATAACCACTCTCTTCAAAATCACATTAATGGTATGATAAGTAAAAGATAGCATATTCTAGAAAACTATATTTGAAGAGCTAATTATAGCAGTAATACTTTTTTGTTTCTTCTGGTTTTGTCATTGAGTTTCACAAAGTTTAGAGCAGTCAGTCACTAGGGGGCAGCCTGTACTGCTACCACTTTTTAAGAAACAGTTGCATCCTCCTTATGTTAGTAACTGAGAATTAATTTTTGCATGGAAGAAAACAAATGTTACTTCAATGAAAGAAATATTTCATTATTCATAGATTTGGTGAAAATGAACAAAATTATTCTGTTCTCCTATGTTTAAATTGCAAGAACAGATCCCTTGGTCAGATCAATCTCAACATCTGGGAAGCCTTGCTTTGCCTCTTACCTAGTCCAGTGGAACCTCTGAATTTGAATGGGTTTGGAAGCTCTTTGAATCTAAACAAGTTTCAGATAATAATTTATCCATACCTCTCTGTAATCCTGTCTTTCTTTCCTGCAGATTTCCTCCCAAATGCTGTAGGATGGAAACTAGACTTTCGAGCTAAATTGGAGAAAAGCAAGCCACAGCTCGGAATCCAACAGCTAGGGCATTTTCTTCCATCCACTGATTTCATTTGGCATTGCTTAGTGGCAGTTCCTTTTGGTAGCGCCCTGTGAAAAATATCAGAGGAAGTGTGAAAGAGAAAACTTGGTCTTCCTTGATTTTAGTTTTTTTTTTTTTTTTTTTTACTAATCTTTTCCTCATGCCATTATAGTTCTGTGTATTTCCTCATGCCATTCTAACTTTTTCTCATTAGATTGATAAACTTTCCAGTTTCTGCATATCCCTAGAATAGATGAACCCATGTCCAGATGCTTTTGAGCTATTTTATTTCTAGTAACATAAGGAGAGCTGTTTTTGCTCCCCTCCCCACCCTTCCCTCCAATATAGTATGGTTTGGCTTCTTATTCTCCAGAACTTTTTACCATAATTTAATGTTGTTTTTTCCTTTCTATAGATAGAGACATCGGCATCTACCAGTATTATGACAAGAAAGATACAGCAGGTAAAGTACAATTCTATTCAACTAGTTTTAGAAACTAAATATCCTAAACTGACCATTGAAAATTGACAATTAAAAACTCTATTTTTATGGACTTTAGATAAATTCTAAGAAGGTCACTTCAGTTCTTCAGAAAAATGCTAGGTTGATATCTGCTGTCATCTGATCTATATAAAATAAAGCAATATTGAGACAGTGCTGTGAAGAACATGAAAATTTTCATTTTACTGCTGATCAGGCTGATAAAGGGACAGTCTATTCGCATTTATTTATTGGTGTCCCAGTAGAGGGCATTGTTAATGCATGGGTCCCACTGATACTGGCCTCCCGGATCCTCACCTGATATCTGAAATAGGCATTTCTGAGTGAATGATCAATTTTCTTTATCTGATTAATCCTGTTAATCCCAGAAGTTTTATGATGGGCCAAAAGGTCTCCCTAGCTAGAGTTACTTCCTGTTCTGGGCTCTGTTGAAGTGGGGCTGTGTGAGCATCTTGTGTGCTTAGCGTGGTGGTTAATAGGCTGACTTCATGGCTCTGATGACAGACTGCAGCAGCTTCTCTTCTGGGCTCGGTTGCAGTTCCCTTTCCTATCTGATGAGATTGGAAGCTCAGGATATTGGCCCACCTGTTGTGCTACATAAGCCTTTTCACTGCAAATTTAGGAAATATCTCTAAAACATGAAAACATCCACACTGGGGCATTTTTCTCAACTGTCCTTTTAAAGGTTTAGCAACATTTATTAGTTTCAAGACTGTGTATGATAACCCTGTATGTACGTATTAAAATAAAAGTTATTATAATAAAAATAAACTGCGCTTCTTTCTTCTTTTCCAATTTCCTCCGCCACAATGTCATCAACAGAGCTTGGTAACTTAGAAGAAAAGCAGAGGTTTGCAGAATGTAAGATTATTTTTTATTTCTTAAAATTATTATAAAATTAGAAAGTTCAGTATTTTAAAATGTTTTTCTTTCTGCAAAAATTAGAAGTGTTATTCTTTCCAAATTTCTTATAATTACATATTATTGCTTATGTACATGAACTATGAGTAAAAATTACATTTGTTAATTCTAATTTAGAAAATTAAAATCTCTACTCTGTCCAATTTTGATAAAACAATATTCCTATGTCAATATACATTTTCTTACTGAATTATATTTGTATTATTTAATATATTTAAAATGTACCACACTTAAATTCCAGTGATAGCATTTAATTATTCATACTTTGCCTAAATTATTAACGTTTTATTCATTTTAAGAAAATAAGATTATAGATGAATGTGAGCATTTTATTTACTAGTCTTTGCTAGCCTCCAATATGTATATAAATATAAATAAACATATTTACATATGTAATATATTATTTATAATGTGGCTACCATGTGATATTTTTCATGATTTAAATATTTAAGATTTTATTTTTATTTATTTTAAATGGTTGAACTGACAATTTTCAGACTACTGTATTAGTAACTGCAGTGTAGATTTTTTTGAAATGATTTAAGAATGTTTTATTTATATTTCAACTCTTAGTGACTAAGAAATCTGAAGTCGGTCTTTTCCTTCTGTGTCTTAGTTCCTCATCTGTAGAACTGTGTAGGATCAGCACTTGGGTGAAGATAGTCAGTATTCAGTGCAACACAGATTTTAAAATTTGTACATATGTTCTGCACATCCAAATTATGTTTATAGAGCCAAATTAGTTTGCTGAAATGAGATATATAGCAAGTCTACTTTCCAATTTAAAGATCTATGTATACTGTATGTATTATATGTATATGCACACATAACATATCTGTACTCACACACAACTCTCATTTAGAATTACCAGTACGAAGATCTGAAAATGACTATTTTTTTCTGATAAAATAGATGCTATGAATTTAACATTTCGTGTGTGTGTGTGTGTGTGTGTGTGTGTGTGGTGCTAGAGATGGAACCCAGGGTCTCATGAGTACTGGGCAGGTGCTCTACTACTGAGTTAAACAGCCAGCCCAATTTTATTAATTTTTAAGAACAAAACTAGTTTTAGTTTATCTTAGGCTAGCATTGGGATTCTATTAAATAAAAAATCTTTATTTGAAACAAAGGAATATCACTTAGTCATCAGATACATTTTTAAAAGGTTATTTAAGTCAGGCACTGGTGTCTTCTAGCTACTCAGGAGGCTGAGATCTGAGGATCATGGTTTGAATTAGCTCAGGCAGGAAAGTCCATGAGACTCTTATTTTCAGTTAGCCACCAAACTGGAAGTTGAGCTGTGGCTCAAGTGGTAGAGCACTATCCTTGAGCTAAAAGCTCAGGGACAGCACCCAAACCCCAGGACTAGCACTCACAAAAATAGTTACTTAAAAAAATTAAAGGAATTTTAATACCTAATATGTTAACATTTGAATGCTTTTTTTTCTGTAGTTTTAGTATATGGTATCTTGATCACACTTAAATTCGTATCCTGTGTATCATTTTTGTATTTTTTTTCCTCACTACATTTATTCATGAGGATTTTCAGGTCTCTATAGTCCACTTGCAGAATTTGAAATTTGTTTGGATTAAATACTTCGTTATTTACAAGAAAAAGTTACTTTGATGCTAAAGAGTGGGTCACTACTAGTAGGTACTGCTAGATTGACATACCCAGCAAATTTTCCCAGGGATTCTCTGGGGCATGCTGGTTATCATCATAACAGATCATCAAGGAGATGATGTTTTGTGGTAAAAATCCTGTTCCTATGACAAAGCCTTTTAAAACGTTGTCATTTGATGATAGAAATGAAGCCCACTTCCTCTCAATTGTGGATGTATTTTATTTTAATCTTCCTAAGGCACTGCTAAGCAGAGTTTCCTTTTTTAAATCATGTTTAACTAACTGTAGTACATGTTTTATTTGCCAGCACGAGATTATCCTTGGACGCTCAAAAATAGACGCCCAGAAAAACTTCGAGACTCACTCAAAGAATTGGAGGTATCTTACAAAAAGTTTCAAAAATGGCAACAAACAAATCTGTTTTAAAACATCTTTCAACGGCTTTAATTTTCGTAAAGGATCAACTCTCATGGTGATGATAGCTTTGCTTTTGTCCAGTGAGAAGTTCTTAAACAGTTGCATCTTTGTGTGGCATGCTGATCTTTTTTTTTTTTTTCTTGCTATCAGAAGCACTTTAACTGATAATGACAATGTGTGTAGCCAACTGCACTCTCTTTCTCTGTTGTCCTTCAGGAACTGATGCAAAACAGTCAGTGTGTGCTGAGCAAATGGAAGAACAAATATGTCTGTCAGGTAAAATGGTTTGACAAGCTTTTGCAGTGTTTAACCAATGGGGCTGAAAACTATGTGGTAATTGGTATTCTTGTGTTATGATAGATAATGGACAAAAACTTTTTAGGGTTAGATATTTCATAGTTTGAATTCTAGTCATTCTAGAATAAACATTAGGCAGATAGATGCACATCACTGGACTACCTCATTACTCAGTGCATACTGACATACTATATATAACTCTAATAAAAATCTTTTCAGATAATGTTTTCACTTGAATTTGTCTGAATGTTATATTTGATGTTTATTGGCATAGATTTAATAATATTTTGAATGAACATTATATAATATTTTGAATGAACATTATACAAAAGGACAAAATATTTTTATTCATTCTTATAAACATTTATAATAGCATATTTATGAAAAATCAACAAGTAAGTGTAAGAGGCTGATCTTAGTTTTTGAACTTCCTAAGCTGCACTGTTTAATATAGTCACCTCTAGCCTTATTTGGACATTTGAATAATTAAATAAAATTAAAATTTTGGTTCTTCAGTCTGAATACCCACATTTTAAGTGCTCAGTAGCTGAGTGTTATCATACTGGACAGTGCAGACACAGACTCTTTCTATTGAGAAAATTCTACTGGAATCTATACCTATAATTATACACAGTGTAAGTTGAAACATGCCGGGCATCTTAAAATATGTAGTAGAGCATCCCAGTAGACAATCTTTTCATATAGACCTCAGTGCCTTTTAATAGCAAGTTTTTTTTTTTGTTAGTGTTATATTTGATGAATGTTATAGAAGGATGTCCTTGCTAATGAGTAAATTCAACTGAGAAAGGAAATTTTTATGATTGAGCATATATATTTATATATATAATACAAGGTGATCTACATACTCAATGGGCCTCAATTTAGCACTTAATCAGGACATAACAATTAGTGCACACAGAAAGATAATAGCCACATTAGCTTTGCTGGTAAATCTGAAAAAAATGTCATTTACCTAGAAAAATTTTACTTGGTCTTGATAATAAAAAAAATAATTGCTAGTCCATATTTACTATGGTGGTAATAAGGTACAGATATAAGAAAATAACATACATGCATTTGGGAATTTTTGTATAGGGTTACTAGAAAATAATTTGGCTCAATTTCTTTTGTCTTGTAAGCATAAAACTATATATTTTAATATTTAGTAAGATTGTTCAACAATTACTTTAAAACAAAACAGCTGATAACAATGACTATGTTATCAACTGGCAAGTAAAATACTTTCATTAAATTCAATACGTTTAGTAATTTGTATGTAACAGTTGCTCTGTAATTTACTTTCTTTACTCACCAATATAGTTATTAAAAGTTCTTAAAGTTGAAAAAGAGGAATAATTGATAGTCATCCATAAATCTAAATTGCATCGTTACTACTAATAATTGTAATTGATAGAATCACATATTCTCTTTTAATTTAAATTTATATGTTTTCACTGTGATTTATGTGTAAGTATTCTCATTTGCAGATGAAGTCTATGCTTCTATATATCAGTTGCCAAACACCAAGTTTATAGTGATTAAAAATACTATATTAAATACCATTTTGATGTAGGCTATTGTAGTGATTCTAGTACTTCCTTATTATTTTAGCTAAACTAGAACCTTCACCGATTGGAGGTAACTGCCTCCCCAAGTGGTTTGGAACTTTTGCTTTCCAGAGACTGCTTAAAAGTAGAGTGAATATTTTTAGAACCAAAATACTTCTTGAGTTTACTTTAGGATACTCTTCAAAAGGATGGTTTTGTTTTCATATCGCAAGTTGTTTACATTGAAATATTTTAATAAAACTTTAAAGCTTGAATACAAAATATGGTCCAGAAAGTTTCCAACTGTACAACTCAAACTTGTAGCCATTACTCACCTAAACAACAAGACCAAAATTGTTTGGCTTGAGGCAAGCCTGCCACTGATAGTAAGAGATATGTCTCATGGCCTCCACCCCTACCCTCACACAGTATAAGTTAGAACATGCCAGACATCTTAAAATATGTAGTGGAGCATCCCAATAAGACAATCTTTTCACATAGACCTCAGTGACTTTTAATAGCAAGTTTTTTGTTAGTTTTAGGTTTGATGAGTGTTATAGAAGGATGTCCTTGCTAAGGAGTTAGTTCAACTGAGAAAGGAGATTTTTATGATTGAGCATATACATAATTACTTTTATAATTAACAACAATCTGATAGTACTGATTACTTAATCTGCTATACTGGTGAGTTTCCTTTTACTATTTACAATAGGATTTATCTTATGATATGTATTATTTTGTGCTGTATTTCTGTGATAGATAAAATATTCCTAAAATAGATCTTTTATTTTGAGCACATTTTAGTTTTTTGAGATAGGGTCTCTGTATACAGCCCAAGCTGGTCTTGAACTTGCTATCATCCTTCCTCAACCTCCTGAGTGGGTTTACAGGTATGTGCCACAATGCTCTGCTTTTCCAGCAAACTTTATATGTAACACATTTTAATAAGGTAATCTCACTTCTGTTAATCCTTTCATCTTTAGGGCCTCCTAACATCCTTAAATCTTTGTGAGACCTCCTAACATTATCCATCCACTTCAGTTTCTAGATTCGACTTTAACTAGGTCTTCTGAAAAATGTATGTAAGTCACATTCCCAAAGATCTTTGTATTACAGTAAGTTAAAAATAAATGATGCTCAAGGTACAGTTTTAGTTTAAGGAAAGGATCTGTTATAAAATTTTTTATTAAATTCTGTTAAATTGTACTCAAGTTGTAAAATAAGTAAACACCCCCCTGCCCTCCGCCCTGCCCATTCTCTTTAAGGGTCCAATTTTCAGCACCATGCAGTGAAGAAGTCCTAATGAGATGTGCTCAAATTCTGTTAGTGGTTTCTACACATACAAGGTCTCACATGGCAGCAGATAACCATGTGTTTTATAACTCTGAGAAAAGAAATGAAGTTTCTGGGTATCCTGGTGCTAACAACATTTAGACTCTCTTTGAATTAATCTACTCTTCCTCTAATGTAATTTTTTATTCTAAATAAATGATAAATTTGGAATGTAGGGAATTTATTGTCTTGGTTGTCTTCTCCTCTTTAAGGGATCCTTAAAGGCCCAATTGCTTACACATGAATGAAGAAACTACAGCATTATAAAAGCTTTTCGCAGATGCAAGCTGAGCTTGGATCTTTCCCTTTGTTGAATAAGGAGAATTTATCTATTGTCATTACCAAAGCTTAGCTAATGGTGCTGGTCCAGTAACCTATAAATTGTACTATCTAAAAAACAATTTTCCACTTGTAAATTCAGAACAGTTTACAAGTCAAGTCTTACTCTATGTATAAAGTTTTAGATAAAATTGTCTTTTTTTTTTTTTTTGTGGGGCTTGAACTCTGGGCTTGGGCGCTGTCCCTGTGCTCTTCAACTCAAGGCGAGCCCTGTACTGCTTGAGCCACAACGCCACTTCTGGTTTTCTAGTGGTTTATTGGAGATAAGGGAATCATGGCTTTTCCTGCCTGGGCTGGCTTTGAACCGCAATCTTTATATCTCAGCCCCCTGAGCAGCTAGGATTATAGGAATGAGCCACCAGCACCGGGCTAAAATTTTTTTTTTAAGATTGATTTTTCAGACTGTGCCAATTACTAGTTTGAGATACATTGAAATGTGAGATATACTTTAGAGTTTTACTTTTGCCACTTTTAAAACATATTTCTCATTGTTTTAAATTTTATTTTTGAGTTGACATATATTTGTAATATCATGGAGGTTTATTGTGAAATTTTCATATATACAGTAGTGTACTTAGAACAGATTCACCCCATCTGCCATCTTCCATTTCTCCCCTCCGTTTTCCCCTTTTTTGCAAACAATGTTTAATGAGTTTTATGATATATATAGTATATCTGTGTGTATATGTGTCTTTTATATGTGCATTATATTTATATATACATATGATAGACACACATACTCATATAGCTATATTTTATGTCCTTTGATATTCTTTGCTTCTCAGGATCCCCTTATCCCTTCTTTCTGCGCTGATCCTATCCTAGATTTTTTTTCCCCTTTTACATTCATATCTCAATGCCCTTATTGTTGTTGTCTTTGTGATCATCATCATCATCTTAGGTATATATTCCACAAGTCAGTAAGAATATGAGATATTTACCTTTGTGAATTTGGTTTATATCACTCAACATGATGATATTCAGATCCTTCAATTTTCTCACAACTGACATAATTTCATTTAATTATAGCTGAGCAAAATATACACACATATTTTCTTTATCAATTCATTGGTTGTTGAACATCTCAGCTAATTTTAATTTGGTTATTGTTTCTCCTGTTTTTTATCTAAGATCTTTCAATTAGCAGAAATTGTTCAATAGTTTCTACTTTGAGTTTCATAAGCCATTTTGTAAACTTTTCATAAGAAAAAATAGCTTTAACATTGAAACATTAAATTGTTTATTACTGTGGTGTGGTAGAAACTTCAGATTCCATAAAGCATTCTATCTTAAGTCACATTCTTATTTTCAGGTTAATTTAAGATGATATTTTATTAAGCATAGATAAAATTTGACACATACTGATTTTAGATTAAATTGACTCATACAAACATATTGTACTACATAACTATAAAATATATAATAATTAGCTGTACTCTGATTTCTGCCAATCATAATTCTGTGTTTCCAGCTACAATCTTAAAATGCCCAGAAAGGATAGTTACATTGTAAATTCCAGTGTCTGACAGACTATATAAAAAATAAGAACTATTTTCCATGTCTATCTCTGATAAATTGTGACCTTATGAAACTCACTTGATCACAACTTCTTTAATTGTAGAGCCTGATCTTACCTTTTTATCAAACTGTGTGATGGTTTGTTTTCCTCATAAAATAGAGAAATTGTGGTATTATTTCTAGGATTGTTAATAGCATGTTATTTTTATAAAACCCATTGCAGTGTTGATTGCTTGCCTATAA